TAGTTAATCAACAAACATTTTGGACCGGCTGCATGGATGTGAACTTGCCACTGCAATTTCTAAGCGTTTTATGAAGGTTATGCTAACGTTGTACCAAAGTAGTACTTCTACTGGTGCCTGCGGAGATTTATGACGTCAAAGGAGGTGATTCTTTGACCCTCATGACCCCTGAGACTCACACACTCAGGCTTCAAGCCACCTAGAGCACATGTGCCTCTGCCTGATATAGAAACGGTATTGAATTATAAGCCTGGAACATCGAATATTCTTCCTTATTGTTCTCTATCTATGGGGGTAGAATTGTTGCATTATTCAAAATAAATAGATTATGATCCACAAATAAATGTAAAGAGATTTACAAAAAAATTAACACATTGACAAATAAATAGAATGAGATCCACAAATAAATCTCAGAGTTTCACAAACATTAATTAAATTCACAAATAAATAAAATGAGATTTGCAAATTAAAAACATATTCACAAATACATTTTTATGTCACAAACACAACTTTGCCTGCCATTCATTTGTGAATCGCGTCCTGTACATTTGTAGATCATTGTACGCATTTGTGGATTTTGAAACATTTCCAGTGTCAAGACGCTGACAATCCACAAATGCGAGGACTTCACCCACCGTCTACTCAAGCCAATCAGATAGCAGCCACACTTCACTGACCAATCATAGCACGTTCTCGCTATAACGTCACGTTTTGCTTTACAATCAGGGCGGTCTCTTGCTGAAATATCTTCATTCATAATATGCGTTGGCTCAAATAGGAAATATAAGGGCCATAAAAATTGATACAGTAAAAGATGTTTACAACTGCAACCCTCTACGGACACCTTGGCAATTGAATCGCCATTGGCTAGTACATTTTTTAGTTTACTCACCAGACTGATAAAATTTTTTATATATATATATATATATAACTGATTCTCTGAAATCAAAACAGGGATGATAATATGTGAGCGCCAGCCAATGAGATTGCCGTTTGCGCATTAGTTCCGCCCACTACTGGAGAAAGTGGCAGTTCTTAAAAGCTGATTGTCTGCCAGCAGGAGGCGCTTTGAGAGCGGTCTTTATTCTTTATCAGATAAAATGAAAACGCCATCGAAACTTTTCTGAAGAAAGTCCTTTCCCTTAAGAGCTACATTCATATAAAACACCCGCGACGTGCAGTGCTCATGTTTATTCAACGAAGTCAAATGCCACAAATAAATCAATGTATGGGAAACACCGGTAATGTATATCGAAATATCGGAAATGTGTTTAAAAATCATATCACCGCTATTGAAAAAAATTATATCGCGATACATATTGATATTGAATTATTGTCCAGCCCTAATCGCAGTAGATTTCTATTTGCTTTAGACGCGTCATGAGGGTATTACTGATGATGTTCGGGATCTGTGAATGATCATAAATTGTGTATAACCCTGAGTTTATCCTCATTCACTGATCCTAATGGAAATATAAAGAAGCCTTAAACAAGAGGGGTGCAAAATGAATCTGCTCCCGCCCTGATTGTAAAGCAAAACGTGATTGGTTATAGAGAGAACGTGCTACGATTGGTCAGCGAAGTGTGGCTGTTATCTGATTGGCTTGAGTAGATGGTGGGTGGAGTCCATACATTTGTGGATTGGTGTGCGTCTTGACGCTAGAATTGTCTCAAAATCCACAAATACACGCAGCGATTGTCCGATTGAACAAATGTACAGTACGCGATTCACAAATAAATGCCAGGCAAAGTTGTGTTTGTAGAATAAATATATATTTGTGAATATATTTTTTATTTGCAAGTCTAATTTTTTTTATATTTGTGAATTTAATTCATGTTTGTGAAACTCTTAAGATTTATTTGTGGATCTCATTCTATTTATTTTGTGAATATGTTTGGTTTTTGTTAGTTGCTTTACATTTATTTGTGGATCATAATCTATTTATTTGGAATAATGCAACAATTCTACCCCCATATCTATCTTCTCTAGATTTAGGATTCGTTTCTGCTCTTCTCTGGCCAGGTTTCTCTCATTCATGCATCTCAAACGACCAAATCGAGGAGTAAGTGTGTGTCTGTGTGCACTTTCTTCATTGTATTCCAGTCTTTTTCTGTACACGTCTGCCCTAGATTCCCAGCTAGATCCTCTAATATGCAGTGAAACGTGAATTGTAGATACAGTGGCCCTAAAATGTGTTTGGACAGTTTTCAAATTTAAAATTAAATTTAAAATTTATGCAAAAATGCATAAATATCATTGCAAAATATCAAACCGAGTGGCATTTATTTGAATTTTGAAGAAATTCAATTCACTTTCTGCCACTGATTGACGTTTAGTTTTATTTAATCAGTAAACGTGCAATTTGACTCGGTTGAGTGTGAATATTTTGCCGGCCCTTTGAACTTGAAGTATTTGTGATGTATTGTCTGATCGTAGACAAATTCATCTTCATCTTCTGATGCTGACAGCCACTTCAGATGAATCGGAGAAAACGCCTCGGTTGCATTAATAATTAATCAAAGAAATGTGTGTAAGTGTGCTGTGTGTGAGAAAAAGCATCACCAGAATGCCATTATAAGACTTTTGGCTTGAAAGTAAATATGTATTTTTAGCATAACGATAAACTAAAAAAAATACCATGGTTTTACCATGCTTTTATAGTATGTACCATAATAAAACCATGTTTTTGGACACACATAGTGGTATTAAACATGTACCATTGTACATATCAAAATATCGTTGTATTAACATCTGGTAGCTTAATTTTACCATGGTAAAACCGTAGTACTTTTTGTAAGAGGTCTTAAAAAGCATCCAGTGTTTCTTGTTCATGTTCAACGGGAAGTGAGCAAATCCAAACACGGATACAGTGCTTCCCTTCAGCTGAATTGCACAGGATGCAGGAAGTCATCTGATGAGGTCATATCCTGTCACTGATGTAACCTCAGGTGTTGTATATTTCCGATAGGAAAACTATAAGTGGGAGAATAAAAACAAGGATTTGTGAGGTCTTAATTTACAAGAATCTTAATGATGGGAAGTTACAGTGAAACTAAGAAATTTAGAAACAAGCTACTTATAATTTAAATGAATGTATAAACTTAATTAGAAAAAAACTACACTAAAAATTGTAAATAAAAAAACAAGAAAATAGTACTATTTTAGTCTTACTACTTTAAAATTTCATGTTTAATTCAATGCGGTCCTTGCGATTTCTTTGTGATTCTGCTCTGTGGGAGGAAGTCTGTTTTCAATCGCAAACCACAAAATCTCAGTGTACAACTCTTCTGGTTTATTAGAGATTGATACATCAGCCAGGCCAGTAAATCTGGGTTTTGCACTAACCACAAGATAACCTGCCAATAACCTCGAAACGGCCAAATATCATCCGAATAATCGCCTGGCTGATATATCTATCGCTAATAACCCCGCAGAAATGTTGTGGTTTGTTTACTTCTCTGCGATTAAAAACAGGCTTTTCTAGCTGAATGGAAGAAGACAATGGAAAATATACTTATTTCTTTCTCAGCTGGGGATATGTGTGTGTGCGCGTGCGTGCGTGCGTGCGTGTGTGTGTGTGTGTGTGAGGAAACGACCATCCATTTCACGACCCCACCAGACGGAAAAACACACTCATACCAGGTTGTCAAGGAAACAAACTTGTCACGTCTTCATTACTTTTAATTGTTTTTCTTCTTGATGGGCTGTTTGTGTTATGATTTAATGTTTCAATTTTCAATAATCAAAACCAGCAGGCACAGTTACAACACACAAATGTACAAGCTGTTTTATTCTGGGTTTTGCAGTCCAGCTGGACTCTTCTTTGTGTATGTGTATGTGTATGTGTATGCGTGTGTGTGTGTGTGTGTGTGTGTGTGCACGTATCTTTTATTTGGATGCGTTTATTGGGCTTCACCTCGTCTTGCCAATATTTTGACCTAAAACTTTGGCCTTGGTCGGTTCTGATGAAGTCATGGAGTTACACCCCGTCTTTACAGACGTGCGCTGGCTCTTTTCACGACATATGGAATTGTTTGCTTTGCATCTTTTCCGCAGGTTTCCGAGAAACTCAACTTTAAAACATCTTTTTTCTGCAACCCCAGAAATTCAGTCTTTACTTGTAGGACTGATCTGAGAAACATCAAGAAATATGTGTCAAATATGTTTAATTCCCTGAAATAGCTACATGTGTGTGGAAAATGCAGGAGTTATTTCTGGTAACTTATTGATTTAGAACATCTTGCCACAAGAAACATGGATGCCAGCTTAACTCATACATTTTTAACTATTTTGACAATAGGTAAATTAGTGACCTCAGATGTATTAACTAAATATAGAGTGTTTTTGTTTTTATGGTATTTATTTGTTATTGCTTTTTTAATACAATAATATTAAAAGTTAATACTACTGTTGTTTTTATTTACCATTATATTTATTGCAGTTTTTGGGGATCTAAATTGTCAAGTTGATTTTTATTTTGAAATAACATAATAATAATTGAAATCAATTACCAATTTATTATTTAAAAAAAAATAAAAAAATTGCCCAACGGGTGTCCCGAGTTCGAGTGCCGGCTTGCGGACCTTTCCCAATCCCGACCCTCCACTTCGCTTTCTGTCCACTTACTGTCCTATCGAAATAAAGGCATAAAAAGCCAAAAACTAAATTTTAAATAAATAAATAAATCACTTTTTGACCAATATATATAGGTTTATTTAAAACTGCTTAATGTTTTACAGTGTAGTTAATGTTGTAATAAAATTGTTGGCGCCGATAGCCTAGTGTGGGACATATAACGCCGTGGAATTGACCTTTCGCGATACATATAAATATATATATATATATATATCTATATCGAAGTACCGATATTAAAGAACCGATTATGTTGAAATTTTTTGGTAAAATGGCCATTGACGGCTATTCTTTACAGTATGAAAAAGTTAATGTAAATATGATCGTCATACCTGTAAATAACCAAACTTTTTACACTCAACAGGGTAATTCACTCAGAAGAGGAGTGTATCTGGATTTAGACGCAGCAGTGTGAACATGTCCAGAGAGTTGTTACATCTGCGAAAATTCAGCGTTAAGAGGTCCTACAATCGCACAGGTAATCTAGAAACAATTACTCAAATCGGTGAGTCATTGTTTCAATCTTAACATGAAATTTCCTGAAAAGAGCAGGAATGTTGATGACTTCTGGGTACATCTAAAGGAAATGGAGGCTTTCCTTCGTGTGAGGGGTGTTGGAGTAGCCAAACCCTCGGCTCAATTTTTCCGACACCTCATAAAGCGTGAGCTATGCATGTGCGTGAGGGCTGAAATGATTCACGGCACCATGGAAACACAACTCACGGCTTCCTGCCGCACATATGGAGACGGTAAGGTCTGCCTGTGATCTCATATCAAAAACACCGTTAGGACTCTGAAGTTCAACCTGCTCTCTAGAGGACACATTCATCTCAGGAACTTCTTAAAGGTGTAGTTCACCTCTCACCCTCATGACGCTCCAAACCTGTGAGATTGACTTTCTTCTGTTGAGGAGAAAAAGAGAATTTTTGAAGAACACTGTTGTTCATGCTGTTCCTTTTATACAACAGAAGCATATTGTGGTTGTAAAAGCTTGAAAAATTAATATCTGAATGAAAAAAGTTGTAGAATCAACTTTCACTCAGAAATTGCTAGCAAATTTCACAATTACACAGAAATGGCAAGTCACGCATTGAATTGAATGTGAAATTTTGAAGTAGAAATACTGCAATTGTATATTCTTGTAAAACATAATCTTTATTTTTTTTATTTTCAACTTTACAAAAAGCTTTAATCATATTTGTGTATCTTAAACTAATTTTAATAATGTTTAATGGGCTGTCTTTTTAATGTGAAAACCTAACATTGATTTATATCAAATATTTAATTATTTAATCATATTTGTACTTTTAAAATAAATTTACAGTATTAATCTTTAATGGGCTGTCTTTACTATTAAAACAATGTTTAATTATATAATATTTATCATATTTAATGAATCCTATTTGTGCATATAAAACCCTTAGTAGACTGTTTTTATTATTAAAATGTAATATTTAATAATATCAAATATTTAATGAATTATATTTGTACTGAATTTAATCATCTGTAATGATTAAATTTTAATCATTACCCCCCAATATTTTCCTTGTTCTTGTTTTATTTGTCAAGTTTTATTTTGAAGTCATTTCATGACTTTTATTTTGAAAGGTCTGCATCTTTGTCACTGTTCTTGATTCAGTTTTTTTTTTTGAATCACTGATATTTTTTTCAAGGATATCAGCCAATCAGTGTTGTAATGGTGCATTTTTCCAGAGAAACTAGTCACAAAATAGTTACGACTCAAAATTGGTCATGTAACAGGAATAAAAACATAATAACCAATAATATTACGGCTTACTTTTTACAGTCCAAACAAAATCCACTGGATGAAGGCAAGTCTATTATTTATATCATTTAGAAATATGCCACATTACGCAAGTTGCGAATACCATCATCCTAAACTAATGAATAATACAACTCTTGTGTTTTCACTTCCAGTACTTCAACACCCATGAGTGAAAGACAGGATTTGTTATTCATGAGAAATATTTACTGTATCTTTGTTTACAGACAAACAGTGTTTTTCCGGGTTGATTGCTAGCGGTTTGACGCTCGGTGGGTTTTATCCTGAGCACTTCTTGGCCCTGACGGACAGAACGAGGAGAGAGCGAGAGGTTATTGGCTTATGATTTTCCATAAGCCTTTCCCTGTCACCACTGCATTATACAATCCAACCCACAAGCTGCGGCTCAGCACTGCTGACAAGCACCTCAGCTTTAGAAGATTAAAGAACCAAATATTGCAATTCCCATAATCCGTGTGTCAGCAGTTCAGCCTCATCCAGAGCGCGAAGAAAACAAGGATGTGCCAGATTGGTTAAATGGCAAACAACTGCATCAGTGAGGGAGTGAAATCAACAGTGCTGGCAGCGAAGATAGTTTGCGTTATTGCGGCGTCGTAGTTCGTAAACCTGGATTACTTTTTTTTTTTTTGCTCCAGTTACGTTTGTTTTATTTTATACATATTGCAGACATGAAACATTGTCAATACAAGGTATTTTTAAGTGTAAAAATAATAATCTATGAAATAATGTGGGCGGGGCTTATTTTTATAGATTGGATTTGATTGGATCATGACAATCAGTACACTTATTATTGGATAATTGGCTATTATTTTTCCCCGCTCGCATGGCTTCAGGAGAAAAGAAAAGCCATTTTACAGGTTGAATACATTACATTTTGATCAAGTTGATGAAAAGATTTGTCCTGTAGAATAAAGTTCTCTGAAAAAAAATTGCATAAGATGTTGATGGACATCTATTAAGAAAGTAATTGGGCTTAATTTTGATTTCATGTTATTGTAAATCTACATGTAAAACCAAGATACGTGTATTTTACTTTTTTAATGCAACTTTTTTCTTATTGAAAATGCGTTTTCTGTTAAATGATGGAGGGCAAGACTTGATTTTGTTTTGATTGGATTAGACTGTGAAAAGCAGGCTGCAGACTCACTAAATATTATTTTAGCCCACTCGCATGGTCTTGGCAGAAAAAAGGTCATTTTAGATGTGAAGAGCATTATATTTAGTTAAAAGCTGAAGACAATAAACTTATTTTTTCTTAAGGTGCACTAATGGATTTGGCATAATAAAACCAGGGACCTGTATTAATGTGTATTAAGAAAGTAAATGGTCTCAATTTTCAGTTGTTTAATTTTATATAAACGTATGAATACAATTAGTGAAAAGCTGGTTGGGTATTGGATAATATTATTTTTCACTTCTTATTTTTTAATTATTTTTTATAACATTATTGTATATGTAACTATAAATATATTTAAATTATATTTTCCTAAACTTTTTTTTCCCTTAGACTGACATGCACTGATGAATTTAGCATAATAAAAACGGGGACATTTAGTGAATAGTCAATCATTTATAAATTAATTTTGATTTCACGCCATATTTAATAGACATTTAAAAACAGACACATTTCAGATATATTTGATTTTAATGCAGCTTTTTAAAAAAAAATAATGCAGGAAGGGAATATTAATCTTTGATTTCATGTTGTTTTAAATATATAACTGTAAACAAGAAACTTGTTTTGTTTTTGTTTTTTTGTTTTCTTTTCTTTTTACTTATTTAACTGAAAACTCATTTTCTTAAATAATACAGAACAGGACTTTAATTCATTTTATTGATCGGTTCTGAATGGATCATGAAAAGCAGGCTGTTATTATTGGACAATATAAATTTTTCCACCCTTTAGGTGTTTGTTACACCAGTAGGGATTTTTTTTTTATATAAAGGCAGAAAAGGTTATTAAATCTTTCATTCTTTTTTTTTGAAAGTTTGTAAATACCAAAAAAATAACATCTAACATTTTATGTATATTTATTTATATTTATAGTCATGCGCAATAAACCATGGACATTTAAATATTTATTAGTATTATTGTATTTGTTTTTATTACTTAGTATATTTATTTAAGAAGACATCTGTATTTAAGTAAATAAGGTCAGTTTTGATTATTTCTATTTTCTTTTTTTAGTTTGAGAAATGAACACATTCTGAACTGTACTGTATGTCAACAGTAAGTCTCGCCTGTGGCTTCCTACGCGACCCTCCTTAAGTGCTCGATTCGTCAGCCAATAGCGTGTCAGCAATCCTCCTAATTCCTTAGCTCCTGACCAATGAGAGTCCAGAGTCCTGTCGTGAACCCGCCCAAAGTCACTGCAGCTCTGGCTCAGGGGCGTCACACATTCTTTGTAATGTTTACTCAGACTGACAGAATCATCTATAGCAAACCAATCTGGAAGCAACCCACAGTCACTGGAGTGGAACTGGATTGAGTTAAGAGATGACATTTTCTTCAAAATATCACGTTTATGACATATCTGGGCCGGAATGCCACAAATTTATGCCCTGGAAAAAAAAGTGAACTGCCTATTGTGTGACATTTCTGAACATCAGCGGCGTCAAGGGTGACCTTCTTTCTCTGAGACCAAATCATTTGTATATGGACTCCATTCGATATGTGATTTGTGCTAAATTATGTGCGGGAATCTGTCAGGATTGTGTCTGGATCATATTTCAACCCAAAATCAAAAGTTTAGCAGTATACTGAAATATACTTTAGGACCATTTGCATCTCCCATGCAAAAGAAATCTACTTTTGTTGAAGCAAGATGTTTTTTTTTTATGTGTTTTATGTAAATTTATGGACGTGGCGTGAATAAAATAACACGAACATCTAATGAAAAGGTTTACATCCTTATAGATTTGCATTTGGAGAAAGTTAGATGTTGTATATTCATCCTGCAATGTCCCCTGCTGGGATCTATTGTAGCATGGCAGTTATGATAAAGAAGATTATGATGATGATTGCTCTACATGGGCGTATAGTGATACATCCTTTAGTGGAAAAAAAAATATATATGTAATGTACACTGAACAAAATTATAAACGCAACACTTTTGTTTTTGCCCCCATTTTTCATGAGCTGAACTCAAAGATCTAAGACTTTTTCTATGTACACAAAAGGCCTATTTCTCTCAAATATGGTTCACAAATCTGTCTAAATCTGTTAGTGAGCACTTCTCCTTTGCCGAGATAATCCATCCACCTCACAGGTGTGGCATAGCAAGATGCTGCTTAAAAAAAAAATTACTGATCCCAAACTTTTGAACGGCAGTGTGAATATATATGATATATGAAATATATATTTTATATATATTATATATACTAGTTTTTTAGAATCTAGAATTTTTGTTAATATTACTTTTTTATATTGGTTTCAGCCAGAAATTTAATCTTGGTGCATCCATAAAAACACATGCAGTTTTTATTTATTTAATTAATTAATTAATTAATTTATTTATTTATTTTATAATGAAGCTATCACACTACCTGAGACACATTTAGTTAGTGTTACTATTTCTGCCATATGTACAATAACTGACAGTCACCACTGATAAGCTACTACAAAATTTTTTAGAAACTTAAAGGGGTCATATGACGTTGCTAAAAATAACATT